TTTAATTGTTCAAAGGTGTGCAGCATTTGCCTGCATTTAATGAGATCTTTTTTTAATCAGTAAACTCCTTCCTTTTGTCTCACACATCATTACCTTAACCTTGTTCCCTGGGCAGTAGCTCTGGACGCAGTGTAAAGCAGCAGGTAACATTCTCATTTTCATTCAAACAATGTGGTGTTCCAGTGGACTCAGCTCTGCCAGTCACAGTAAATAAACTTTTCTGCTTCTAGTGACTGCAGTTGCATTAAGTGTTGAAGTTTTTCTTTAGCAGCAAAAATTGAGAATAGTCTTTTTCTAGTACTGACAGATTGACACTACTTGTAACTTGGGGTTGGACTGACATTTGACATTTCTATAGCATCCAATGTTGATATTATCAGATCCTTTATCCATCTAGTGAGGGACATGGACAGGGATTGAGATAGCATGCTTAGTAGTCTTGCTCTTCCAGAGTTGGGTAGGTAGATAAGCTGTGGGTGGGGGTTGCTTTTTATTTTGTCCTCTCTAAATCAAATATTACCAAATGACCTGGTAGAGTCTACAAAGCAGGTTACAAGTAATTATTTTTGCTAAATTAGAGATCAATTATGCTACACTGCCCTTAGAAGGGTTCTGACATCAGGTTTATACTGGAAAGGAGAAAGCAAGAGTCTCAAACAAGAAAGCTTTCTCCACTGGAAAAGCGTTTAGGAAACTTCTAGTGTGTTTTCACTCTACACAGTACCTCCAGATCACCCTTTTTCTCTAGCATTATTGCTAGAGAAGCTCACATTTTTTTTTGTCCTGTGCTCTGAGCAGCCTCTTACCTGCTTACAAAGACCCCTTCTTTCTCATGCACCACAGTTGCCCTCTCAGATCCCCTCCCTGTCCCCCCAGGAACTCTTCCTGGCTGTCCTCACGAGCAGGCCAAAAAAAAGACATGACTTGAGAGAAAATTTTGTTCTCTTCCAGACAGATCACTCACCCTTTCTCTGCCTTGGCCCCTGACTGCTGCTCTAAGATGGTACATGCTAATGCAGAGCAGTCCAGCCCATGGATGGGAAGTGTTGGGTATTCATCTTCCTGGACTTGCCTTCAATCCGAGACATTGTCTTCTCTCATGTAACTTCTTGCATCTCCTACCCTAGTAGATACTGGGCACAGGATATGATTTGTAACACAGCACACACGGTCAATGGGTTTTAAAAACGAGAGCTTCTGAGAAAATTCAAGTGACTTACATTTTCAAAAGCAAACATTATTCTGACTGATGTACGATGGAGAAAAATATTTAAGACAAGAAAAGATAGGCAAGGAAGGATACCAGTTACAATGAGATTGCTAGGGATTGTCAAATGCGGACAGGCAAGGAAGGATACCAATTACAATGAGATTGCTAGGGATTGTCAAATGCATTACGAGATAAGTTCTGCGTGTCTGGTAGCAACAATTTTAGGAAAAGGTATCTACTGACAGTAGAAATAAGTTCTGCGTGTCTGGTAGTAACAATTTTAGGAAAAGGTATCTACTGACAGTGTTCCATCTCCAGATGCTATAAAGGCACATAAACAGTGATAGGAACACACACACCCAAGAAGATAAGCCGTTAGAAAAGATTGTAAATTAAACTTTGAAACAGGTTAAGTCTGCAGCAGAGCATGCCTATCAGCTAACCCTGCTCCATCTATTCAAATTGTAGAGAGGATGGGTTCATTGGTCACTGCAGCAAAAAGGCATTGCTAGAAGTGCTGGCCCAGGAAAGACCACCTCTGACCCTGACAACTGCACCAGCACATGAAGAGGTACAGGTTTCTTTTTCACCAGATTTTACAGTATTTACCCCATTGAAGGATTTAGAAAGTAAAGTCCTTCCTCTTCCCTTCGTTTCCTGTAAAATATTTATTTTAAACAACCACTTATTTTAAAAGCACTGTAACACCGCATTCTCACTAAAATGAATTATGTTTGAGAAAAATAAGGCCAGCTGAGCTCAGTCTCCAAGTGTCTAGTCGGTAGCTGGCTATTTTGAAAAGAACAAAGCTTGCTAGCGCTTAGAAACTTAAAAAACCCAAATGGCAGAAACAACAAAACCACCAAACACCAAAGCCCTAATTCGAGCCTGTGTAAAAGCCCCTTCTTGCTCACACCAAACTTTTCATCTGCACTGCTTTTGAATGGTATGGATGACAAGTTAAGTAAGACAGTGAGTTAAGTTTATCATTACCTGCTGGGGTTTGTCTGTGCCCAAGTAGAAAACACGTTACTGAGGAGCAGCCATAGCAGCAGAGGTAATACTGATGAAACATTATGGAACTTGGCTTAAATCAGTTTGCTTTTGGTTGAAATAAATTTCCACACAACCCCTGCCCCAGTTCTTATGACATTCAGGAGCTACTGCAGACTTGTGGAACTTTTACCGATGCTCGCTGTTACTATAAAAGGCCATAAAGGTAACTTTAAATCCAACAGTTACACTATTTACTAGTAATAACAGTAAGTGGGCACTTAGTAACTTGATTATTAAATAACTTAGTACAAAATCTCCTGGAGGTATGGAGGAGTGGGGGGAGATAGGGAACCACTCCATATATTGACTTCTAGTCTTCAGGAAAGGTACAATGTTTCAAATTTTCAGCTGATCATTCTACAGCTGCAGCTTTGAAACACATGCTAAGCTATGGCCTGGTAGGTCCATACCCAACTGTTAGTTTGGTACCATTCAATTGTTTAAACATCCTAATAAAAACTATGAACGAGTGAAAACCTGCCAAGCACTACAACGTCCTCAACTGAAGGACAAAAGCAATGTAGCACTGTAGCAATTCACTCCTCACAACAATAGCCAAAGCACTATCAGTAAATGGGGCTGCCAATTATAACCCACAGAGCAAGGCACCTCAAGTTTTCACCAGTATAAAACAGTTCCAGATAGCCAAAACCTGAGCATCACCAACCTTCCACATACTCAGGCTAGACACCAGGGCAGTTAAAATGCAGGTGATGTATTTTTCCTTAAGGTGCATGCACTGTATTTCAGAATGAAGCTCACTAAAACAAGTCATGCATTTGGACATGATATTCACCTCCTTGTCTGACCTCAGGCACTGATGTGTGTCATTCCTTTCTCTGTCTTATTTGCTAGCAGTGCTGTAAGAGTACATTTAGAGCTACAATGGTACCTGTGTTACAACAGCAGTCATAACAGTGCCTGGGTAAATAAGATTGCAGACACACAACAGAAACCTTATTTGCCTAACTGAAGTTTTCTTCTCTACACAAAGAACTTAAGCAAAAGTTGGTCCACTGTGAAGAGACAAACTAAATGTTAAAGTCCCCAGTATTTGCTTAAACAGATTAACTTCTGATTTTCAGAGCAGTTCCCCCTCATTTTTCTGCTTTGATGCAATCAGCTAGCACCAGTAATACTATCTCTTGGTCTGTAAAGCTCTTGTCCAGTTACTACATCCAAAAGCAGATAAATTAGGTCCTTACTTTAATTTGTCTTAAGATTGCATCCTATCGCTGATGTTAATAGAGGAGTCAGCCATAGCAGTCTTCTTACCCTCTGCCTTCAATTAAGGAGTAACTTTCTATATAAGCAATCTCAAAAAAATCTCTCCTCCTTGGCTTTCTGGTACTAAGTGATTCTATTAATATGACAGTGTCCAAATACTTCTAGATATTAAGAACCAACCTGCAGAGAACAATGGTAACACCCTAACTGTATTTACATCTAAAAATGCTACTTGCTAACAAAAACTAGGTTTAACACTAATACTTTCAGCTACTCGTCAATAGACACCCCGAGGGACAGGACACAGTGTCTTGTAGACACAGTGTGGGACAGGATATCACCACCTCCACTGCTCTTGTTTCAAAGTCTCATTCTTCAGCAGCTGTGGAACAGGGCTCTTACAAACCTTGCTGTTTATGAACAGTTCATTTTGTTCCTTTCCCATGCCTGATTTAGAAACTGAAATACCTTCCTTACTATTCCACACTTAGCTGCCAGCTTTGGCCCCTAACCAGCAAGTAAAGGAGCACCGTGGTGCTTGGATCCAATAAAACTAAGACAGATGTGCACCCTGTCTGTATCACTGTATCTGAAAGCAAAGAATCGAGATAGCAATTGGAAATCTAACATACAATCAATTATACCTTAGTATATACATTTGTGAATGTTGTTTAGAACTTTTTCTGATACTTTCAACCTGTAAAGCTAAATGCTGGGGAGCACTGGAAAGCTCCTGCTTTAATCCTGGATGAGTCTATACACATGCAGCATCTCAGTCTATGATTACAGCTCCTAGGCAGTTACAGGTAGGTCTACTTTTACTTAGCTATTCCTATATGAAGGCATTCAAATTGAAGCATAATCTAGGATGTTCTATATTTAATAAAAATCAGAAAACAACTGTATTGCTATTAGCAGTTGGAAGGGGCCCTGTTAAGCAGTTACACATCAGTATATTGAAAGTACATGTAAATCTTAAGATATAATTTAACTGGTCTGGGAGCTGGACCTATGCCTAAACCCTAAACTGAGCTTGGCCATCTACCTGGCTTAAGTAGTAATCTGCAACTGTTCAGTTCAAAATCTCATTTACATGTCCGCTGCCACATTGATTGCCATGCTCAAGTAAATTTTAAACTGACATTATACTGAAACAACTCAAATGTCAGAGGAATTTTCTATCATATCAAGGCCAGCTATTTAGCAGTTTAGCTTACTGCTTTTTTTAGACAAGTGGTACTTTACCAGCACATTCCACAGAAACCAGAATCCTTTTACAGAGCACACATAGTCAGGAAATAAAATTAGTCCTTCACTGTATTTAAAGCTTTATTCATAGAAACTTCACTGCATTAATGGCAGCAATATTTGCATTATATTTGAACTCAGCACTAACAGGTTAATATTTACATTTAGATAACACTTAAACCAAGACAAATTAAAACCAGGCACAGCTTCAGAGCAGAAAAACAGACATAAGTTACAGACAGACTTAAAAGTAATCTCAATTTTTTCACTCTGGCTGATTTAGTCCAAAGTTCTGTTATTTCTTAATCAGACAAGTAGGAAGATTGGTTGTGTCCAAGTCATCAAAATATGGATGGTTCAAGGCCACTTTGCCTGAAATTCTTTTTGCAGGATCGTAAGTTAGCATTTTCTGAAAGAAAAAGGAAACACATTTATACCTCATGAAATGGGAACTAAAAATCATGTTAAATAGGTAGATATTTAACAACAGTAATAAGCAAGTAACCATAGAGATAAGATTTCTCCCTACATTCCACAATTTCCCCTAGAGGCAGAGGTCATTTTCAGCTACAAGTCAGTAGTAGGTCACTAATAATGCATAACATCTCAGAACATGAAGTAGTATTTATTCTCCCCATTCATTAACCAAGCCCATGCACGTATCAGGGTACCACATGTACTGATCTAACCCCAGAACCAGGCATCAAGTGGCAAGGGTTATCAGTCTCAGCTTCCCAACCAAAGGAAATTAATAAGCTTGAGGCTGAAGAAGCCCGAAGTGCTTACAAGGACAAGTGGTCCTATGCTTGTTTTGTTAAGCTGATATTGAAGAAACTGATGTCAAATTGCTTCCACTGAGCTTGGTGCAGTAGTTCAGTTAAAACATGAGAGTGATCACTCAGTTACAGAATCAAAAGAGGACAGTAGTACAGAAGCAGGTAGAACTGAAGAAACCCAGTTTGAAAACTTGAGTTTCTTTGCAGTAAGTTACTCTAACAGAAAACCTCAATAACGCGGTTGATGAGAGTAAACAGAGAGTATGCCATAGCCACCAAGATAGTCCCCAGAACTTTCTAGAACAGGCAAGGGATTCTATTTTGCTAGCAGTTTAAAAAAAAAGGCATGTACAGTTTTGTATCTTACAGACAGGGGCCAAAAAGAAGAAAAGAATGAAGCATTTAGAAGTTTTCTACTAGACCTAAAACTAGTTAAAGTCTTTGCTGCTACATTTCAAATTCAAGAAATCAGGACTCTACCAGCTGCTTCTCCCCCATCCCCACAAGTTTATCTTCCAGGAAAAAAACAAACAAATAAAACAAACAAACTACCAACAACAAACTTAACTAGTATTACTCTGCCCAGTGTTCAGTCTTGACATTCAACTGTCTATCAACTTCATCCTACAGAGGGTCCTTCCCAGTTGGTTTAAACCACTGAATTTGCATTGGTACTCCCCAAACTCCTGCTAAATGCAGCACTCTCTCTAGATTTAACTTTGTATGTCCAATTTTACTTTAAGTGACAGGTTTGCATTAGCTACACCCCAGAACAACAGAATCTAATAGCTTATACTGATATCAAAGGTTCTCTTAAAAACTGACTCAGGAAAACAGCAGCAAGTTTCTCTGAAAAAGGAATGCTATGACATTGAGAATATAGCACTTCAGCTGATAAATTAAGTGACCATTTCTTCTCTGAGCAGACTGGAAACTCAGTGTCTGATAGACCAAAGCTTTTGATGACAGCCATTAAGTGCTTTGAAATGCTGGCCACAGAAGTAATTTAGCTTCTGAAGGTCTTAAGTTTACAAGATCACTCAAGCAATTGGTCTTAACACAAAAATGCATAACCCCTTTTCAAAGACAGCTGTTTTACATACTTTTCCTAGGCATATTGGAGCTTGTGCTCTAGAATGAAAGAATCAGTTTTGTTGCCTTTATAAAGTTATATTCTGCTTCAGGGTTAAAGGTGCCACAGAAAACTTAAATGGATTCCAAATGCCTAAGAATTTAGCCATACCACTGTCACCAAGCACTAAGAAGAAGCTAAAATTCCAATGTTTATTAATTTAAGGCAAAACTATAGAAGATTTTACAGCAAATCTAAGATTATTTGAGATCAGTATTGCATTATCACTATTTGAGGAATTAGTAATCTTTTTGCCTTTATCAGTGGAAGCCCTAAACATTAATTTTACACAATGAAACCACAACTAAGCTCAGATGAGTACCTAACAGGCCAGCTACATGACTGTATAGACAACATTCACTCACCTGTTCAATTGATTTTAGTTTGTAAATACAATCAGTAACAATTTTACTTCAAATAGATTTAATAATTATGCTTTCAGTGGACACAGAGGAATTATTCCAAGCTTAAGTCTGTTATCTCTGTAAAATAATATGCTACGAGGTTCAGAGAGCTATCCAAAACTACTATGTTTAACAAATGTTGTTCAGGTTGTCAGGCTGAACTGTGGCTCTGGTCTTACAAAGAAAAATTTTGAGAAACTGTGGTCATTTGAGCTTCTTGGGTAATACTGCTTCAGAGTATTTTGCCATAGCCTTACCAATATAGGTAATAAAACCTTGTGAGTAACAGCTTTGTGATTAAAACATGAGCCAGCTACATAGGTAATTGCTGTACAAGGTTCCACTTGTATCAAGATGGTTCTGAAGTTTCAGCTTATCTTAAGACACAGAGCACCCATCACACAACTCCATATGCAAATCTGCACTGTATAAATGCAGCTTTAGGATAAGACATCAAGGTACTTTCTTATACTTGGGTGTGATCTTAAATGCACCCAAGATGTAATCTAAATTACTCTGCAGTAGCAGCATATGAGCTGGAAAAGCACCAAGTGGAAAAGTCTGATGAAAAGCTTGTCAAATAAGAGCTCAGTGTCGAAATTCAATTCAGTTTCTTCATCAGCAGTTTAACAAGGACTACTTACAGACAGCAGATCAAGTCCATCTTTATCCAAGTTTTTGACATGTGTTCCCAGGCTGCCAGGTTTCCATTTTGGGAATGTGTTTTTATAGTCCTGCAAGGATTCTACTTCAGGCCACACCTCATTGTTGGGGGTACCTAAAGCTCTGTGCAAGCATAAGCAAAAGACCGAGCAGTTTAGCCTGAAATCTGCATGCACTGCTGCGATTTTAATAAGTGCACAGCACTGTTCTGCAATGCTGCACAAGTAGCAAGGAAAGGTTCAGTCTGACATACCTGAAGATTCTGAAGAGCTGATCAATCTCCGAGTCTCCGTGGAAAAGCGGCTTTTTAGTTGCCAGCTCAGCAAATATGGTACCTATGCTCCATATATCTACAGGAGTAGAGTAACGAGCAGATCCTAGCAAGACCTCTGGAGACCTGTACCACAGTGTCACTACCTATTGAACAAGGAAATTTTTTTTAATAGTTTATAGATTCAGGTCCTCTAACTGACTGCAGGCACAATGGCTCATTCATTGTTGAGCAGCATTCAGGTTTTTTTGGTTAAAATAATACCTAGTTCTAGTTTTACTGAAAATAAACTATTTAGACAAGCATAACAGACTCCATTGCGGTAGTTTCTACTGCATGCAAAGCAGTTGCCTACACTACGTCCCAAAGAGCAGGAAGCCTTTACCACCTAGCCACTAAAACCCTCAAACTCTAGTACTCTGAGCAGCAAAAATGACCTTACAACACAGCAAGCAACAAGTTCTGGCCCATCTGATTCATTGTCAAGGTAATAGTGGGGTTCATAAGATGCTTTGGAACATTAGAGTGAAACCACAGGAAGATGGAAAGCCATTGAATAAAACAAAACCAATCTAGTTTTGATGCTGTTAGTTTACAACTTAAACTGTGATTCTTTCTTAGCTGTTTCATATTCAGTTATTACCAGGAAGCTAGTAAGCATTGTTGAAATCAATCATCAAGAGGATGTTCCAACTCACTCACTTCATGAGTGTATACCCGCACTGGAATTCCAAAGGCTCGAGCCAATCCAAAGTCCGCCAGTTTAATCACTCCCTTGTCATCTATTAAGATATTCTGAGGTTTTAAGTCTCTATGCAGAACTCTTCTTGAATGGCAGAAGACAATACCTTGCAAGATTTGATACAAATAACTCTGTAGAAAGGATGAAGTGGGAAGAAAAAAAAAACAGAGTAACTTTTACTACAAGGTAGCGTTCTGCAACATAAAGCTGTTCCCTTACCCATAGCAGTAGGAAATTGAGATCCAAAGCATTACAGATATCAAGTTAATATCAATCATAAATTCACACAAACTAATTATTTACTTAAGCTTAGGTTAAAGCAGTTCAGTGTCAGTAATTAAAAGAATTTGAAGTGGCATGTGAGAGCAAAACTCACATTCATCTTATTAACCACAGCTGCTGCTTTAACCTTTCATTTCTTCTCAACAGGTTAATTATACTGAAAATAAGAGGTGCTTATAGCTTTGTAGGTCATCTTCTTTATATTAACTACTCTCTTATATTAATAATTGTCCTCATTACCTTAACACGTGAACGATCCAAATATTGGCCAGATGGAATATTATCCAAGTATTTCTTGAGATCCATGGAAAGGAATTCAAAGACGAGGTATAGTCTCGAATCTTGCATAAGAACATCCTGAAGACTAAAAATTGAGTATAGTATCAACTCAATTGCATAATAACTCACAGCTAAATTTTCCCCTCTTAACAGGGATACAAGCTGACATTTCCAGGTTCTAGTATGAAAGACTTAAAAAGCTTTCAGTCTTCAAAGATTAACACTTAGAGAGTTATACCATCATCTGGAAAATCAAGTCTATCTGAAATAATGCCAAACTGAGATAAACACCCTATATGCTTCCTCTTAAACTTATGTTCCCTCATGCCTAGTATCAGACACAGGAAGTCTGAGGAGAAATTATTGTTGCCTTTAAAAAAACAAACAAAACCAAAAGCCATGGGTGTTGGTGCCTAACTTCTGTTTGAAGCTGGATTATTACAGCAGAGCCTGCATTACTAGGAAGGTTTAAGGGAATATTGTAACAGAAACCTAGTAGACACAGCAGGATTCCCACAGGTTTTTAAGTATCTCCTTCATCCTTAATAGACAAGGGTTCCTAAACCTGAGTATATATACACTGAGACATTACATGGCTGGAACTTGGCCAGGCTTAAAACACATTAGAGAGAAAGTATTTTGCTGCATCAAAGAGCAAGTAAGTATTTTGTAGGGAAGACAACAGCTGCAATCAATTCTACATGTCAAGGAGTCACTGAAGGAAGTTTCACTCATAGCTCAGATGTGCTGGCTATGACAGCGTCATAACACAACACGTGAATCTCTGCTACAAAACAGCAAGTAAGTGACTGGTGACAGGGGCTCACATAAGAGCACTAAGGTCAAATTGTCTATGTCAAGGTGACAAAGTTCCGAGACTGACTAAAGTAACAGCTTCAACCAGTTTTCATGATGTATGCTGTCTCCATTCTGACAATAACTACTCTGAAGATAATTTACATAAGTTACAAAATGAACAAAAATGTGTCGGATGCCTAGAATGGGAAGAGGCAGCATGAAGAAGTCTTAATGAAAAAACTGGCAGAAGCACAGGATTTGGGACTATAGCTATTTGCTGCAAAACAGATACTGTATTAAACAGAGTAGCTCTCATTTCACTAAGAATGGTGAAAAAATAACTTCTATCTGAAGGGACCTAGTGGTCTTCAAGGAGTTTAGCTAAATACCAGTATATGCATACCAGACTATATTGGGATGATGCAGCTCTTTTAATAAAGAAATTTCTCGGATAGCAGTACTTGGAACACCTTCCTCCTCACTTTCTAGACGTATTTTCTTCATTGCAACCACTTGGCCTGTGGTCTTGTGCCGACCTTTATACACAACACCATAGGTACCTGAACAAAAAGACAGTGAAATGCATATAGAAAATACCAGCTTCAGGTACAGGTAAGTCATTGCAAATAAGAATTGTTAACATATGCAAGAGTCCTTGCAATCAAATATTTTTGTTTAAGTGTTTGGCTTGATTACAAACTACTCAGTTTTGACAGTTTAACCATGCAATAGTTTTGTTTGTTTAAAAACATGCCACCTGTAAACAGTATTCTTTGTTAGGACAGGGTACTTAGTAGCCCAAGTGTGAAACATGAATATTTGGAGGACGTAGTTGTAAAATCAGATACGATTTGAGTTTCAGGTAGATTGACTTTCAGGCAAGATCACTACACCACTTCATCCCCAAGGGGTTATGATTTTTGCCATTGATACACAGTATTAAAAGTTTAAAGGTTTAGCTGCAAAAGAAAAAAAATAGCACTCCCTCTGCAATCAGATATCACTCCATCCATTTGTCAGATCTATAGATACACCTCTAGCACCATCCTCAGTGCAAGACAGAGGACAGCGCTGTGGGGCTTAGCAGAAGCTAGAACTGGAGCCAGTAAAATAGATTATTGATTTGAGATTTACTAATCATCAGTGTTCACAGAAGCAGAACCCTCAAACAAACCAAGACGGCTTAAATATTCTCTTTTTGCCCTTCCTGGAGCATTAATCCCGCAGATCAAGATCAAACTAGTTTCTTTCAGGAAGAGAGGCTCATCCACAATGCTTCAGTTACCAAGCTTTGCTGTAAGAGCCAAGCCCATACATTTTGCTATTACCTCAGAGTGCCTTCTCAGAGCAATATACTGCAAATTCTCAAGCCTGCATAAAGCTAAAGCATTATAAAAAAATACCACATTTAACATAGGCTGGATTTCCCATGAAAAGGGTGTTGTGACAAACATCTGCATTTGAGCAATCTTTTTAGCACTTCATAGTAAATTAATTGTTAAAATTCACTTCTCCACAAAGGTTTATAATCTCCTCTTTCCCATAGTGACCAGATATCATCCAAGCAGAACAATTCACAAACCACTACTCCCTACACCAGCAGCTCCAATCAAAATAAGTGGACCACGCAGTACAACTTCAAGAAAACTGGTACACAAGTTCATATACAAAGGAACAGAGGAGCTTCCTAAACTGAAGCTCCTCCATTTCAGGCCTCAAACCTTCCCCCCCCAGTGAAAGATTATGCCATTACCCATCAATATAAGGGCAGATGCTTCTCAACACTGACCAGTTGTTTCAAATAGACCATGTCATTCTTCTTTCAGAAGAATGGCGGTCTGAAAGCTTTAACTACAGGCTTATTTTGCTAGTTAGTTGAATCTCAGTAGTTCCTCTAATATCCAGAGGCCACAGAGCTTCTATGACACTTGATAACTCAAACTGTGGAACATTATGAGATTGATAGTTCTTCATACTTACCTTCCCCGATCTTCTCTATTTTTGTGTAATCATCCATTGCTCTGGCTATCCCTGAAACAAACAAGAAATTAAAAAAATAATAATAAAACATTAAGGTGAACAGTTGTTGTCCTGAACATAGCCAAGTTACTGAAATTGTTGAATCATAGAATTATTTAGGTTGGAAAAGACCTTTAAGAACATCAAGTCCAACTATAAACCTAGTGCTGCCAGGCCCACCATTAAACCATGTCCCCAGTATCACATCTACACATGTTTTAAATACCACCTCCAGGGATGGTGACTCCACCACTTCCCTGGGCAGCCTGCTCCAATGCTTGACCACTCTTTCAATAAATAAATTTTTCCTAAGTTCCTATCTAACCCTCCCCTGGTGCAACTTGAGGCCACTTCTTCTTGTCCTATTGCTTGTTACTTGGGATGAAAGACCAGCACCCACCTCACTACAACCTACTTTCAGATAGCTGTAGAGAGTGATAAGGTCTCCCCTCAGCCTCCTCTTCTCCAGGCTAAACAACCCCAGTTCCCCAGCTGCTCCTCATAAGGCTTGTGCTCCAGCTTCATTGCCCTTCTTTGGATGCACTCCAGTGCCTCAATGTCTTTCTTGAACAGCGGGGCCCAAAACCACATGCAGCGCTCAAGGCGCGGCCTCACCAGTGACGAGTACTGTGGACAATCACTTCCCTAGTCCTGCTGGCCACACTATTTCTGACACAAACCAGGATGTCGTTGGACTTACTGGCGACCTGGCCACACTGCTGGCTCATATTTAGTCAGCTGTCTAACAGTACCCCCAGATCCCTCTCTGACAAGCAGATTTCCAGTCACTCCTCCTTAGGCCTGCAGCATTACATGGGGTTGTTGTGACCCAAGTGTAAGACCTGGCACTTGACCTTGTTGAACCTCATACAACTGGCTGAGGCCCCAGAATCCAGGTCTGTTCCAGAGGCTGGGTTTCAGGGGTTGGTTGGTGTTGGTGCAGTTCTTTCTAGAGTAGGTACAAATTCTGGAGTTGGCAGTTCTAGATCACATTCCAGCTTGCTTCTACGTTCTAGAACAGGATCATGGTTTAGCTTGCTTGTTGTTTTAGGACTGATGGTTGGTTTAGGACCATTTCTAGGTTCTGGGCAGGTTCTAGCCTGCTTGATGTTCTAGATATGGTTCTAGATCGGGTTCCAGGTCAGCATATGGTTCTAGAGCACATTGGGTTCTGAGGAAGAAGGTCCTAGAGCTTCAGGAGGTACTCCTGTATTTTCAAACTCAGTCTTGCTGGGTTTCTTTCCTATTTTTATTTTTTCTCCTTGTGGTTCTTTTGATTTGAAGGTCCACAGGATGGGGATTCTATCACTCCGTAAAGTGCAGCTCTCCCAAGCTCACTCTTGCACCCAGAATCACTTAAGCTAGGGCAGGATCTTGTATCATTTCTTTGAATGGCATGGCTACTACAATCCAAAGCCAGTGCTATTTTCTTAAATATGATCTAACTTGTAATGCAGATCATTATGTAGAAAGAGAAACTTTAAGGCAAACTCTCTATATTTGACTTTGAATTTTAAGGTAGCCTTTTTACTGGGTGAAAGAACAACCTAGTCATCTGAAATGCTATTAAAACATTTTCCAGTATTTTCACCCAAAATATAACTTGAAATACAAAGATGAAATCTAGTCAACTGAAATGCTATTAATACATTTTCTAGTATTTTTGCCCAAAATATAACTTGAAATACAAAGATGAAACGTTCTGATCACCTTAAATGTTTAATTGGAGTGTGAAGAAACAAAACTTAGAAAAGAGGTTTGGTTTTTTGGTTGGTGATTTTTTTTTGTTGGGGTTTTTTTTAGTAGCTGAAGGCACTTAAGTTTTTATTGACCCTGTGTGCTCATCTCCTCCTTCAATGTCAGGTGCTTGCTTATTATTATCAACATGACATTCCCTTTTTTTGAAAGGTTGTCCATCACACTTTGAATCACCTCTCTCCATGGTTACATTTTCTAATCGGTTTACATGATTGAGCCTACATCAACTGATGCTTTACTTAATTCCTTTCCATTTGTATGGTGTGATTCTTGGAGGGACTTTTGTCAAAATTTTGGAGAGCCCTGACAGTTTGAAAAGGACATGACCTTTAAATTGTATCAGAATGTTTGCTGGTGCATAAGGGAAAGGAAAAGGTTGGTAGTGATTGAAAACCACTCTAAAAACAAAAAGTAATTCACTTAGAAGCAACATGCATAGGAAGTTACTTGGTATATATTTAACCGATTAAAAAAAGACAGAATGAGGACACGTTCTTTGAGTAATAAGGGTTCCAAAGAGTTTTTCCTTAAATTTGGCTTAGAACATGGTATCTATTGATCTTGCTTTTCTGTATTTATAATAATAGATAGAAAACACATTCAAATGCAATAGAATGGATAAAAAGTGCAATTCTTTGAAATTATCAAACCTGTTACTTCATTGCGCATTCCTAACTGGACCTGTGGGCATGCTGTAATTAGTAATTGCCAATGTTAATTTTTGGAGAGTCTGTCACCGAGTAAAGCAGCAGAGTTAGATTTTATATTGGTATAAATATGCATATGTTTATGTGCATGTAAGAGTATAATTAAAGTTAATGTAATTATGCCATATCTTTTGAAGCTAGTTTGGTCTTGCATAATTAGGATATAATGTGGAACACTTACCATACTCCTCAACATAAACACAGGTTTTTATTCAGAGTTCCAACTAAAAAACTACATCCCAAAATAGTATTAGGCACCAACTCAAAAAATGCTTCTGCGAAGCAAGTTCCTCCAAGCAACTGAAAAAAAACCACTCTACTCATTAGTTTTACATAGTTACTCATTTGCAGGAACCCTACTATCTAAATCACAGAGTGTGATATTAGCGACATAAGGGAACACCAGCTCATATCATGACAAGTACACAGCTCAGTCTTCCGAGCTACCAACCGAAACAAAGCTAAGGGACGGGCATAAGACACCGGAAGCATTAGCAGCTGGCGGGACTGCGAATTCACACCGTCCATACTACTCTTCACCTGCTTGACTGAGGACAGCCGAGCTCCAATACCAGGTTGGGAAGGGTTACGAGGTAACGAGCCAACTTGTAGTCACCTACAGCTCCAGAGGTTTCCGTATTCGGACAGCCGCGAAGCCAGAGTGAAAGGGCAGCGAGTGCTCGCCCCTAGCCCACTAACCGCGTACCTCCGGACAGGAGCACGCTGCCATCTCGCTTCAGCTCCTGTCCCGCTGTCACAGATCGCATCACCTCGAAAGCGCCCGCGCTGCAGGGCCCGGCAAGGAGAGAAGCCCCGAGGAGCCGTGGCCCTGTCCCCAGGTCTCACGCTAAGGACGACCTCGCCCCAGTCAGGAAAGGACCAGAGGCCGCGTCGTGCCCCAGTACCCTGATCTGCTGGGGAGCGGGACCCCCTGCGCTGCCTGGCCGGCGGAACGAGAGCTCAGAGCAGCAGAAGCGCTCCGTCAGCCACCGGCCTCTCGCCCCACTGACGGGCCCGGAGCGTAAAGGGAAGGACAACCTCCC